ACACAGATCAAGTGAACAGAATAGCCCAGAAATAAACCCATCCATACATTGTCAACCTACAACAAAGGAACCAAGAACATACAATGGATAAAGGACAGTCTCTCCAATAAATGGTGTTGGTTAAACTGGATGGCTACATGGAAAAGAATGAAACTAGACCACTATCTTACACCATATATAAAAACCAACTCAAAATAGATTAAGAGCTGACCATAAGACCTAAAGCCATAAAATTACTAGAACATCAGTGATAATCTTGACATTGGTCTTGACAATGATTTTCTAGATCTGACGACAAAAGCAAAGGCAATAGCAACAAAAACTAAGTTTGATAGCATCAAATTAAGCTTCTGCACAGTGAAGGAAACTGACGAAATGCAATTTACAGATGGGAAAATATTTGCAAATCATCTGATATGGGGTTAATATCCAAAATATATAGAGAACTACAACTCTAGCCAAAAGAAAAAAAAAATCTGATTAAAAATGAAGAGTACTTGAATAGACATTTTTTAAAAACGACATACAGATGGCCAGAAGTATGTGAAAAGGTGCCCAACATCACTAATATCAGGGAAATGCAAATCAAAACCACAATGACACAATCATTAGAATGGTTATTATCAAAAAGATAAGAAATAAGTGTTACAAGAGTAGAGAAAAGGGACCCTTGTGCACTGTTGAAGAGAATGTAAATTGGTGCAGCCACTATGGAAAACAGGATAGAGGATCCTCAAAAAATTAAAAATAGAACTACCATGAGATCCAGAAATTTTACTTCTGGGTATTTATCCAAAGGAAACAAAAACAGTAACTCAAAAAGATATCTATACTGACATGTTCACTGCAGCTTTATAATAGCCAAGACAGGGAAACAACCTAAGTGTTCATCGATGGAAAAGAAAGTGTGTTTGTGTTTGTATACACACACACAAAGTGGAATATTACTCAGCCATAAAAAGGAAGGAAATCTTGCCATATGTAAAAACATGGACCTTGAGGGCATAAATTATGCTAAGTGAAATAAGTCAGATGATACCATATGATCTTGCTTATATGTGTAATTTTTTTTTAAATCTGAGCCCATAGATATCATAGATAAATCTGAGAACAGATGGATGGGTGAAATGAGTGAAGGTAGTCAAAAGGTACAAACTTCCTGTTATAAAGTAAGTCATGAGGATGTAATATACAGCATGGTGACTAAAGCTAATAATACTGTATATTTGAAAGTTGCTAAGAGTAAATTGTAAAAGTTCTCATCACAAAAAAATAACTTGTAAGTATGTATGTGGATGGATATTAGAGTTGTTGTGAGCATTTCACAATATATACAAAAATCTAATCTTAATGTCCTGTAACTGAAACCAATATGTTATATGTCAATTATCTCAATTAAAAAAAAAGTGAATGTGAAACACAAAGTAAAGATTGCCCCCTGAGGCAAAAGTGTATCTTAATTGCTCCTGTCATGGCCAAAGTGTATTAATTCTCCCAAATGTTCTACTTCTCCCAACACTAACTTCTCTCCCCCCAAAAGGAGTTAAATATAACAAAAAAGAAATGATACATGATGGTTATATTAAAAGCAAATTAAACAGACTCATAAATTTGGTTTCCTGGAACTCTGCAGTAGATTAATTGGGAAGTACTCTCTCAAAACCTGTAAGGAAATCAGGGATGCAGAACTGGGCAGAGGGAAAAGTTGAACCATTAGGAAGTTTCAACAGATGTCCCTTTCAGATCTTTAGCTCTAAAGCTGAAATGACCCTCCATAGAAGTCTGGAATTAAGGCACCCCCACCTCATCATTTGGTTCAAGCTGTCTGCCGGGAATAAGCAGTCTCCCCAGGCAAGGCAGCTGCCATAAGCTGAAAGCCATTTCCAGAGAAAAATTTCGCTGGAAGCGGTCAGTAGCTAGCACCTCTGGAAAGAGCTGCTTATTCATGAAAGGGATTCTAGGTGGTACATCCCAGCATCCATTACAGAGTGCAACATCTAATTTTACAAATGTTGGACTAAGAAATACAGGTCCTGGAAGGCCCAGAAGTACTGAGGAATTAAGTCATTGAGGAAATACTGCACCAACAGCCAGAAGAAAACATAAATCCGAAAAGGAATCTGGCATCTGAGACAATTTGTTCCCTAAGAATATGTGTAGATTCCAGAAAGGTGGCTAAGGGCCTGAGAAATTGATCAATGATTTTTTTTTTTTTTAAACCACACAGTGCTAGTGGGAAACAAAACCGGTATCCAGAAGGATCAAGTAGATGGTGCCTGA